TCACTCAATTTCTGATTCAGAGGACTCGTCTTCCAAAGGATATGATTTATGTGTGTGGGGAGATTGTGACTTTGCTTCCTTTTTTTGTTAACTGGAGAATTCTTCATGATGATCTTTTTCAGAACTTGGGATTAAAACATTCCCTCTTCAGGCTACAAATACATAAAATATATCCAACATTAGTAATTTTATAATGACAACATAAAAAATTAAAATTAAAACTACCAACTGAGAAAACTCCAGTTTTACATAAACACTTCTTAGTAACATCACAATATGCTTCTTAAAGTATTTTTTGGAAATTCCTTGTTAAATATTCAGGAATGTAAACAAAATAAAATAAATTGAAGAATAAAATTAAGGAATTAAAAAAAATTGTTAAAAAAGGTAAATTGACACATAAAACTGTTGAGAAAATACATACAATTTTGACTACTAATAAATGTTATAATCTCTCTTGTGGTGATAATCCTAAAGAATTATTCATGAGGATCTTCAGAATTATTGTTCAGAACAAAAGAAGCTAAACTATCAATTCACCTTCTTAACAATTTTTTAATTCCTTAATTTTATTCTTTAATTTATTTTATTTTGTTTACATTCCTGAATGTTCAAAACAAGAAATTTTCCAAAAATATGCTTTGAGGAACATATTGTGATGTTACTGAGAAGTGTTTATGTAAAACTGGAGTTTTTCCAATTGATAATTTTTATTTTTATTTTTTACATTGTCATTATAAAATTACTAATGTTGGATATATTTTATATATTTGTAGCCTGAAGAGGAAATGTTTTAATCCCAAAGTAGTGAATAAAAATTTCTTTTGTCAACTGAACTTTGTCTCTTGATTAAACAGACTTGTTTATAAGACAAACTTGAGTTACGGTTTGATAGTCTTAATTGGAACACATGGGTTTTTTTTGCATTTCTATGTAGTTAAAAATATAGCAAAATTTATAACATTGAATATATAGTTAAGTAAGTAAAGTATTTATTTACTTTTTTTGACTTTATATAAAAGAGGTTGAGATGGTTATTTTGATATTTTCTAACACTTTGACATTGAATTATGAATAGAATAGAATTAGAATGAATTATGAATGAAACATGATGAAAAATATGCTGTTTTAGTACAGAGTAGAATTTATGTAATATTTGTAATAATTTTTTCAGGTTTGCAATTTTTTTATATACTTACTTTTATTAATATAAAAATGACTGTGGTATCTTACTACCAAATTAATATATTTAACAATCTGCTTATAGTGTATTTAATGCATTTAACTAATGATCATTATAGAAAAGTGTATCTTCTAAGAAAAAGTCTCTTCCATTATCATAAACAATTTTTTTGGAATAGACTATACTTGTGTATTTAAAGTTCTCTTTTATAAAACATAATATAAACAATATGTTTATATATGGATAATTTCTTCTGACAAGTTAATATTTTCTGTAATTTATTTTAGAAGTGTTTGTTTAAAATATTAAAGAATGCTTTTACAATATATTTCACATAGACTAAATTTTTCTAATAACATTGGGCCTGGCTTAAAAAAATTTTCCACCATTGTTTGTCTTGCCTTCTTGTCTATTTCGTTCTTCAGTACAGTAATAAATATGTACATAAAACACTCACAGACAAGTCTAAACCAGCCACTTTATGAGCACACACTGAATAACGCTCGTAAACAAGAAAAAATAGAAAAGTGTGTGCATCAAGATTGCGCTTGCGCAAGATTGGCAACATGTAGATATATCGACATCAAAAAAAGTTTTTTTGCCGTTATAGTGAAACATTTTAGGCTGTAAATCGAAAACGTGCCTTAATCGAAGAGGGCCGTTATAGCAAAATGCCATATAAAGAGCGGCCGTATAGCGAGGTATGGGTGTATTACAGATTTAAAGGCTAATTTTTTCCTTTTCTTTTTTATAGAAATAGAAAAATAAAGGGGGAAAAGTATTATTTGCTAAAAATTAGCATAAAAATAGCAGAAAATGTAGTGTAAAAATATAATGATTCAGAAACTAAATCATTATGGCAGACTTTTATATCATATATATGCAGAAAAACCCATAGATGTTCCAGTCACTTTAAAATAAAGATATAGAAGTAGATGGCATTCAGTAAGATCTGCCACTTAACTATATGAAAGCACAATTGAAAGGAAGTTAATTGTACTTATCAGAAGTTTTTGTTAACATCTTTAGGATTATTAGCCCCTTTCTATGCTTGGATCTTTCTTTCTTTCTTACTTCTCTTCCTATTTCATCTAACTTGACTTGTTCTCTTTTGTTTTCCTATTGACCTCTTTGATCTTCTAGATTTACTGAGTTTTCCAAGTGTTACGAATAGTGTCTGTAGAGACTGGCTCATCCTGTTCGGATAATTCTGAGCATTTACAANAAAATTTAAATTTGCCGACTGAAATTCTTTCGGATGATTGACGTTTTGGATGATTGACTTTTGGAAAATCGACACTCTACTGTATATAAATTTTTGATATTAGGAAATATTTTCCTAATTTTTCATTTAGAATTTATGTTAATATATTATAATCAACTTAAAATACAGCCAAATCCAGTAACAAAAATTCAAATTTAATAACTATGAAATGATGATGATTTTTAAATAACATCAAAAACAATCTTATGTAAAGATCATCATCAGGTTCTTATGTTATAACAGAAAACATCTTCAAAAATACAAACAATTGAATGGTTTGAATTGTATTACATATCACATGCACAAGGGTTATAACTAGTACAAGTAGTAATTAATGTGAAAACAACTCAAAGTTCTTTAAAAATAACAAAAAACAATTAGCATTTCTGGAGTTCACCTTTATTTACAGATTATTGCCTAGCACTTTCAGACAACTAAGTCCATTGTCAGTAAATGAATTGAATTAATTTAATTTATTTATTATAGCCAAATTACTTAATAATTAATTAGTCTTAATCAGCTGAATAATGAATCCAGCTGTTCATTTGATATTTAAATTAATTATCGGGTTAGTTGTATGTTTTTATATTTCTTTTCTGGTTATAAATGTTTTTAACTAAAATCTTTCAGTTGAAGAAAATAATCTCTTAACAATATTTAAAAAATTGGAAGCCTACTAAATTTCAATGTTGTAAAATAATAAATATTTCACCATCCTATGCTAAAAGAGTGGANCTAGCCAAATTACTTAATAATTAATTAGTCTTAATCAGCTGAATAATGAATCCAGCTGTTCATTTGATATTTAAATTAATTATCAAGTTGATTTCATATGTTATATATAACAACAATACATACCTAAGAATAAACAATATATAAGTTGAAAAAAGGAAAAAGGCAACAGCTCATCACAGCTGATCAGTGTCAGGTTAAATCCAATGATGACAGGATCCAAGATGCTACTTTAGTAGAATAAAGTGGCATAATGCCCTCTAAAACTAAAATATAAAAATCTTGACTTATAAAAAATTAGAAATAAATTTGATAAGGGGCTGTCCATAAATGACATCCACATTTTTCTTGAAAATTTCACTCCCCTTTCACCTCTTGTCCCAGTTTGTCCAAGTTTCATAACTCTGCTCCCCTCTTTGGATGTCCAACAAAACTCGACTCCCTTAAAACTTTTATTAATTTATAAATGCTAGATATCCTAAATAGGAATGAAACATACAAGAAATGTTGAAATAACTTTAATAAAATGCATAAACTGTATAAAATTTAATGAAAAATGGATGTCCATTCCTCCTCAATTCCTTCCTTCTCTCTTGTCTGGCTTTTGCCCAATTTGTTTTTACTCCTTGTCATTTATGGACAGCCCCTAAACTAGCTGTTGAATATGAAATTAACTTCTTCAAATTCTTTTATTACAGATGAGTTTACTAAAATAATTCCTTCATAAATCAATAAACATAGAACAACAAATGATATGAAAAGAATTTTAATAACCAATTCATTGCAAAAGAAATACTGATTACTAATAAATCTCTTGAGGTAAAACATAAAATTGCATGCAATCTACAAAAAATTCTTTATTATACCAAACTTTGAAATTAGAGTTTAAATAACTTTCTGATATAAAATTATTTTTCAAATTTTGCCACCAAAACAAATTATAATTAGTACCAACTTTCTCTCTAAATTCCCAATAATAAGTATTGGATAAATACAACAAAAATTCAACATGTTCAAGTCACTGTTCAGTCCCTGAAAATAAGAACCGTAATAGGGTAGTAATCAACAATTTTTTAAATTTAAGGCAACACATTTCATGCATTTTCTATAGAGATTTTTTTACTATTATATTTATTTTTTATTATGTTATGTTTTTATATTTCTTTTCTGGTTATAAATGTTTTTAACTAAAATCTTTCAGTTGAAGAAAATAATCTCTTAACAATATTTAAAAAATTGGAAGCCTACTAAATTTCAATGTTGTAAAATAATAAATATTTCACCATCCTATGCTAAAAGAGTGGCTGATAAAATTTCAATGAATGCTTTTAAATTTAGTAGCTCAATTAAAGAACCAGACTTCAGTTCCATATAAAACTATCATTTGCTCTTGAGATTCATATAATCCAACTTTCTGCATTTAACCAATTTATGTTTATCATGTTTTACTACAAATATTATTACATTATATTTCCTTCATATATCTACAAAGTAAATGGTACAGTTATTGGCTCCAGTCAGTAATTGCTGTCATTTTTGTCATTGTATATGGCCAATAATTATACAATTTTGCATTTTCATAAAACAGAATATATTGTGGATTGGTGTTTATAATTTCTAAACATTAAATGGCTACAAAAACAGAATTCTTCAGTAAGTATAATATTTTTCAATTTAATCTATCTGTTATGTCATAGAATTTTTAGAATAAAAATTTCCTTAGGTGGCCAATAACTGTACAGTTTACCTTATACTGTAATTTTAGTAAGATTTTGAATATGATTTTTATATATTAATTATTATTGATGATGATATTTTTTAATAATTTTTACAGGCTTTATAAAAGCAGTACTAAAATCTGAATCAAATAAAAATATTCGTTTTTATGTTATAAGAGGATTAGTTACTACTTCTCCAGCACTCAGAATAGTAATTGGTCCACCAACTGATAAGGGAGATTCTGGTGTTCGAGGAAGTAATGGTGGAAAATCATCAAATTCTTCGGGTAGAGGTACAGGAGACGGAAATAGATTATGTTGTCCAAAATGTGGAAATCCTTGCTCTCATGTAGAAACTTTTGTTTGTAAGTCTGCATTAGGATTTTATTTTATTATATATATATATTTCATAATTTTATATTTTTGAAGAAGTTAATAGTTAATCTTATATATATATATATATAATCTTAATATAATCTTATACTTCAAAAATNATATATATATATAAGATTAACTTCTTCAAAAATATTCTAAGCTAAAATATTACTATTTGAAAGTTATAAATTTAAAATATGACAAGAAAAGTAAAAATAATAATAAGACTAAACTTAAAATTATAATTGTTATTTAGTGTTTAGCCTTACTTATAAATTTTTTGATTAAATTGTTTTTTTAATACCAGTTTTACCATAAAAAGAAAAAAAATACACTATTACTGTCTAATGAAAATATCTTCAATATTTTCAATTCAAATCATGCATTCAATCATAAATGAAAATATCTTAATTTATGATTGAATGCATGTTCACTCTCTGATGCCATTCTATATGCTGACTCAACAGATTTGGAAGTGATGACTTTCACCAGTAGATGCAGTTTGATTGAGTGGTAAAGTCATACCAGCTATAGTCTCGGAACTTTCCAATATCACTTAATATGTACAGTACAGTAATATCTTGGTTTTCGTTGAATCCACATTACATGTTTTTTTGTCTACATCAAACTTCCTCTTTCTCAATTTCCATTTTCTTGTGCATAATGCACAAGAAAATGGAAATTGAGTGAAATTCCTCAATTTCCATTTTAAATTGTAAGTAGTTGAAATTCCTACTTACAATTTAAAATTCACTGTGTAACTGTTTTTTTGTCTACATCAAACTTCCTCTTTCTCAATTTCACTTTCTCAATTTCACATGTACACTTTCACTCGACCCATGTTTAACATGCACTGAGCATGCACTCAACAATAAGAATTAACCATCACTTCATCCTTTTGGAATTTGCAGTGTTACCATATTTCTGTATATCCACATCTCTACTCTCATCCCTTAGAGGAATTTTGAGATTTTTATTTTTATTTTCCAAGTATATCATTTCAGAAATGGGGTGTGGCTTATACATGCATGCAGCCTATACATACATGAATACAGTATTTTTCAGCATTCGGTGTCCAATTATGTTAAGTTTATGGCTCACTGGTCACTCATCAGTACTGCTGCAAATGATATCAATTGCTCTCTCCTGGTTTGGCATATTTCTAACAAAATAATCAGCAAGTGACAGTTTCATTTCTTGATTTCTTAATATTAGAAATTAGAGAAAAACTGGATCTTATATACCAAATTGAGATAACTGATTTGTTTACATCAGGATGATACAAGTCAGTTTTGTGGAGAACTAGCAAACTTGGACCACATGTGGGACTTTTACTTTTCCACAGGCAAGTGCATGATCATTTCAGGGAAGACAAGAAGCTGTATTACTTTCCTATTAAAACTTAATTTAATGTAATAACTTATACTAGTTTACCTTTTTTAGGCAAGAACTATATAAGTGATTGTAATTACATTATTGAGAGAGAGATTTGGGAGCACATTTATGATCTAAATACCTGGTTTATTAAATTTTCAAAAGGTGTTCATTTTTTCTAAGAAGATTTTATGGATAGTGGGCAGGAAATGATCTGTTAGACCAGTGTTTTTCAACCGGGGTGCCGCAAAGTTTAGAGCCTTTAGGCATTTTATTGGAAATTTACTTAAGTGTAGTCAAGATAACTCATTGTCAGTTCTATTTTGATACAAGATATCTAGTAAACAAAGAAACTATGACTAATCGCATGTTAATGTAATGTTCTACGCTACGTGTATGCACGACTTGTCACGAGTTTGCCCAAACCACATTGCTTGGCTTTCATGTTCCCAGTCCCAGTATCAGGCCAACCAGCAGAGAAGAATGACGTGGACACTTGTGTCTTGTATATACAGTACTTTAATTAAAAAGCGTTGCATTGTACTTTGAAAAACGTGTGGTTTCAATCATAAAGTAGGTGCATATTACAGTATTTTCATAGTATTCAAAAGCAATGATGACAAATAAACAATTTTTTATCATTTTTTTAATTTAAATTTTTTAAATTGATATGAAAAAGACAAGAAAAAAAATAATGAAATTATATATGCATCAAAATGAATAAAAAAACTTAACAAAAATTGTTTATCAATAAAATGATGATATATTTGATAATAAAACTATATTTAAAAAACAATAGCGAGACTATTATTTTACATGTAGGTATTTCGACAAAATTCAATTGACTTAAATTTTGATTTTGAACACGTAGAAACACTTTTGCGTTGTGTGTAATATTCGTTTTCGCGAAAAATTCATCTGGCCCATTAGTCCCCCCCCTTATTCAGATTCTAGATCTGCCGCTGGTCAAAGGTGTCACAATTTGTTATTTTTCAATTAAGTGTGCCACTCAATGAAAAAGGTTGAAAAACACTGTGTTAGACAGTGAAAAGTGCTTCCTTTGACATTGAGGATCTGGGGCCTGAGTCTTTAACTGCTTTTAACAATACTGAAAGTTTGTTATCCAATAGTGATGGAAGGCTTGTGTTACATGTTCAAAATCATACTGTGTATAAATTTGTTGTCTGTTAGTTTCTTAGGCATTTACATGCTGTTTAATGTTTGAATATTTAGTATTGCAGTGGGACTGACTTCAAAAAATAATTCTTGGGGAAAAATTTTGATTAAAGAAATTTAATTTGATGAAATTTTTATAAAGATAAAATAGTAATAATTTAGCTATTAGATAGGTGAAATATGAAAGAGCATATTTAATGATGAAACAATTGAAAAAAAAAATTCAGTTTTGTATTTCACAACTACAAGGTTCCTATGCACCTGGAAAGTCAGGAATTTTCATTAGTGTTTGGAAAAACTCATGGAAAGTCAGGGAATTTGTTGAAAATTGTCAAAAAGTCGGGGAATTTGACTCCTTAGCTGCCTTGTTGATTTCTTTCACTGAATATGGCTGATCAGGTGTTAGCCATCTGCAGGTGGCAAGAAGTAATGCTGCAATCTTTAATAAGAAAATATACCAGAATCTGTTTTGAAATGGTGTTTTTCACTGTTCTGAAGCCATATAATTTTACAGTTATGAATTAATAACAGGATAAACTACTTTTATGTAATAGTGTTTAATTTTTAATTTTAATAATTCAGCAATTATAAAAACATGAAATTCTTAATTAGAATAAAAAATAACTAACTAAAAATTTGTTTGCAAACTTTTAAAAGTTGAAATTGTAATTTATTAGAATATTCACTTCAAAATAGCTAAATAGAACAGTAAAAATCTGTAATTTAATCATTTTTCACATTTAAAACATTATTACACAATATAAAAAATTGTAAATAGTTACTCGACAGTTACAGTAAAATGCTGGTGCTGACTTGTGGTTGGCATGAGCTTTTTACATTTGTTATGATTTTCCTTGAAAGTACTGTACTGCAAGCATATTTTTCCTCCTCTCTTCTGTTAATTTATGCAACTTTAATACATAGTTTAATAATTAGTTTAACAGAAATGACATTGGGTAACAAATATCACTGATTTTGGAAAATTTAGGGTTTAAAAACTAGCAACATTGATCATATCTGTAATAGATATACTGTAGTTATAGTTTTGAAAATCAACTAGGTAATCCGATAGTTTTAACCAATGTTAACTTGCTTATAATTAAAATTTAAAAAGCTGGTAAATTTTTAAAAATTTAATTAAATTACTGAAAAATTAAAATAAATTTGATTATGCGCTCAGATTGTTCNTTTTTCCCTCTCTTCTGTTAAGTTCAGCAACTTTGATACATAGTTTAATAATTAGTTTAACAGAAATGTATAGTTTTGAAAAAATTAAAATAAATTTGATTATCACCAAAACAATTTTTATAGTTATGTTGCAAAAGAAAGATTTGTAGTTATGATTCTATATGCTGAACTTCTATATTTTATTAACATATACAGTTGACCCCCTATAACGCGGTAGATATGTTCCACTTTATAAGAATTTCACATTGTTGGAGTCCTTAAATACATAAGCCAATCACAGCCCAGCACGTGTGCAATTTACAGACTACAGCTGTTTGAAAGGTTTTCTTCCATAAAATTAATCGATTCTAGACTAATTTGACTCGGCATTTCCAAAACATGTATAATTTTTTGGGAATAATCTGTATAAACTATGCTATAAACAAAAAACTGTAGGATTACTTACCGAGTGTGCACCATTTGATGACACCATTGCTTAAGCTTGTTTTCGTCATGGAGCAGTGCATCGAACAGCGAGCGTGTTTTCTGATAAATTATTTTTCTGTGAAAAACTCGCTGAACTTTGGAGACAACATTAATATAAATAATTTTTATGGCCGTTGAATAAGAAATGCTTCTTTCACAAGAAATGTATAAAATTACAGTACTGTATTAGACTTACAGTACCTAATTTATATATTGTACAGTTGATAGTAAACTCAACTTGCCCGCCTAAACTCTCCGTAGCGTGTAAGTAGTTCAGCTGCTCATCCACTATTGGTCCAGATTTGACCAATCTTGTCGTGACACAAGTCGACGATGATGTTTTACCATATTTTACAAGTCTCTTTTATCATCTTTATACAAATATGGTCGCAATTTTTTTCCGCAATACACGAATCCACATTATATGAACCTGTGTTATAGGGAGGTCGACTGTAATTGTAATTTCATTTGATGTTTATTTCTGTATTTATTTTATTTAAATTCTATAAATTTTAAGAATCCCAATTTTTGTAATACTATGATGTTGTAGGAACACAAGTGTGAGGTTCTGGAATTGTCCTGGAACTCACTAAAATAGAAAAACATAAAATAATTTTATTTTCGTTTGATGTTTATTTCTGTTTTTATTTTATTTAAATTCTATAAGTTTTAAGAATCCCAATTTTTGTAATACTATGATGTCATAGGAACACAAGTGTGAGGTTCTGGAATTGTCCTGGAACTCACTAAAATAGAAAAACATAAAATAATTTTATTATTAGAGGAA